CCCCAACCAAATAAAAAGGAGAAAAACTTCCTTGTTCAGGAATCTTATAAAATATAAGCAAAAGAAACGACACATGAGATGGAACAAGGTCCTGCATTTGTTCTTTATAACTACATCGACAAGCTAGGTGCTAGCCCTTATAGAGGCTCTTTATGAGGAATTTAAGAACCATCAAGATGGACATGAAAACAACATACTGACATTTCGCAAGGCAAATAAAAAACATTAAAAAGAATTATTCAAGGAAAGACGTGTTTTACATTTCAAGAATATAGATCATATTCTTGAACAAGAATTTTCCACTTCCTCCAATATATACGACTAACGAAATCATTTAAACATTTGTCACATTTTTTGGAAACAATGACACTTAAAAAATAGCCAAAAATGTAAAGAAGAAAATTCAATAAAGAATTCCCTCAACGATAGCAAATAGAGGGCAAACGGGAAACAATTATGTCACTATGTTCTAGGTATCTGCTAATCATTTCCTAAAAACGATATTGTATTAAACTTCCCAATAACACCATGACAATAACAACGCCATCATATAGGAATTAAAAGTATTAGTATGATAGCACTCAGATGCACAACAGCAGATAAGAGTTAAATTATTGATAGCAAGACCTTTAAAACCAAACTAACCTGATTTGAACCTATGAGATACAAATGGAAGCCAGTTAGACCTCCAACAAACCACAGTGCAACAAAACAATAGGCCATTAATGCCACAGATGTTGGTGATTCTTTCATAGCTTTCCAAATAGTTCCAGAGTCATCCATAAGAAGTTTCAGATACAGAGTTGATATGGAAAAGACGAAAACACAAAGGAGGGCTGTTGAAGAAACAAAGAGAAAGAAGCAACGATAGTTCCGCTGTACACCAAAAAAGAAGATGAGAAAGAAAGGAATAAGTGTCTTTAAAGGATATCCAAACAGTAAACAGCAATTAAAATAGAAGATAAGCTTCTCTTCTCCTAGAAATATTATATATACACACATAAGAAACTTATATAAACAATTCGAAGCCAGGATACAGTTGCCACGTTCCATCTTTAGATGAACCAAAGAGAGTGGGAGGAGTAAGAAAAGCAACAAATAGCAGATTATCCATTGAACTTTGAAAAGAAACAGTAATGAAAATGGATGTACTTACCTTCCCAATGCATTGACCCACCCAAGGGCAATGGTGATCAAATCGCTCCACACAATTATCACATACTGAGCAATGAGAGCATCTTGGTGGACGGTACAACATGCATGTTTCGCAATATTTAACTCGCACAGGCAAACAATTCACAAGGACTTCTTTGGTGCGAGGCAAAGGTCTAGTGCCAGCTTCAACAGAAACTGAGGATTCATACCCTGGTACTTCCTCTGGAGGATGAGAATTACGAGGGACAATTCCAGGATCCTTTGCTGAAGTTGAGAGTAGAAGTAAGAAGACCTATGGCAACCAACCCAACATTAGAATAGTGAAACACTAAGAAATACCTGAATAAAGCACCATGGAACTACATAACTCCAACTATAAATTCTTCAAATAACAGAGTTTCTCAAATAACCCCAACCCGCCCGCCAAAAGAAAAAACATTTATCACCCAGCTTGCCAGCGAAGAATGAGTGCTCACCTTAGGTGCGGAAAAGAAGCTGAAAACACCTTGGCAGTTATGAAAGGCAAACAAAATGATGGGGTAAAGGCAACTGAAAAAAATGTAAACAAAAGGATGGACAATGTGGGTATTTTTGCAGAAAACAAAGTCTCTAGATCCGTTCTGGGAGAGAAGAAAAGGGAAGGCAGAAATCCATAGATTTCCGTTCAAAGAAATTGAAGAAGGAATACAAGAAATTTTCTTGAAACATATGCCTAGTGTGATGGATCATTAAAGGCCAGTAAAAGGAAGAGTTAAGAAACTAACATAAATTGTGAAGACAATAGCTATCACCAAAATTGCATATCCTGCACTTCCTGGCTGGAGTTCATGCACGAGATTTCTTGCCACAAACACACAAAATATAACAACAGGGACAAGGATAAGCGTGAAGGTTATAATCAATGATTTAGCATCTGGTCCAAATATCAGCCTCCCGCCAAGCAAGAATTTCTGCACATTATAGAAACCACAACAAAATAGAAATTAAAATAAGTCAAGTATAAGGTCATATGTCCAAAAGAATAATAGCATAAACATACTCACAGTTGGACAATACTTGTTTTATGAAACAAATAATTGATCACAATATGTAATCAACTTTACAGACAGCAAATCAAGTCCATATCTTACTGGTTCCCTTGGGCGCTGAAGGTGCATTGGAGTGTTGTATTCACTTCTTTTTTTTCCTTTTTTTGATAGGACAGGCTTTTTAGGAGAAACCTTAAGACTTTTTTACTTTGAGGTTTGCAAAGTGGACTCATGTTTGAGAAGAGGTGAGTTTTTTGCCTCCACATTGTCAGGAGGAACCAAAAGATCCTTTTATTGATCAAAGAAGGCTAAGATCCTCAACTACATTACAGATTCCAAAGAGTTTGTAGCAGATGTAGGAAATCCCTTGTATTACATAAACACCACCGTAGATTCATTTCACCAATTGGTGTTTTATCTGAATCATCGTTGGTATACCCTTAAACCACAATGGTGTATCTTATACTACCACATTGAAACAAAAAAAAAACATCAACTTATGGTGTTCCTACAAAAATGAGTCAATAATAGGAACTTGCAAGTTTGATGAGCAAGTCCCTGATAGTGCATATCAATGTTTAAGCCACCACAGTCTTTCAGTAGCTTGACTTCCAACATAAACGAAATTGCAATTCTAAATTTTGCAATAAACTTTAAAACTTAAAATCTAAAGTTTCGCAAATATGAATGTTAGCTGCTCTCTGTCAGTATCAATATCACAACCGTACTCACATATAATGTGAGTTAAAAGAGATCCACTAGTGATGTATCTATTTCTATCAACTGACCCTACTCTACCAATATGAACTGCTTCTTTATATGTAGGAACTACAACAGACCTCCATCTATTGATACAAAATCTATATATAGTACAGAGAACAAAAACTTAAAAAAGCATTCTTTCCTTTGGGAAGAAATAGTATAACTATGGCCACATATTTTGCAAGTAATATTCAGCATTTCTCTTGCAATTGGAAAAGTACCCTGCTAAAAGTGATCGCCTAAAGCAATATGTCCAATGCATAGCTTGTGAACAGATGCAAATAGAAGAATATGTGCATGAGAAAAAAAATCTCGTCCTCTTTCAATTGACCATTCATCTATTTCCAGTTAGGTCTTTCTCATCTCTTCCTGCCAGTTAAGATATGTTTCGACAGATGACAACACTGCATCTCATTGACGATGTCTATTTATTTTTTCTAATAAATTGTACCATTGCCACCTCTATTCCTCATCTTTTCCGGCCACTGTTCCAGCCTCTTCAGACCATTGTTCCAGCAGCACAAGTCAGCTGACAAGTCTGTCGTCATCCACCGACAAGTTTGCAGTAAGCACTTAGTTACGGTTAAGTTACCATACGCAACACCTTTCAGTCAATGCATACTTAGTGTCATGTTGCCATCTGGAAACATGTCTCCAGTCAATGCTCAATCAGCGGCATGCCGCCGTCCAGCAACACATTTCCATCCACCAACACATTTCTCATCACCGCTCAGTGAACATTCAGTAAGTGGCATGTTGCTTTCCAACTCTACATCAGTGTCCAATAACATGTTTCTAATCAAGGCCAAATTAGCACCACAATGTCGTTGGAGACACGCCATTTTTTGGTTATCAGTACCACAAATTATTCACAAACTCAAGTTGCTTCATCACCTTAAGCTTAAGGGGTCATATTAATACAAAGAGGCACTGCAATAAATGCAACACCGTTAATTCAAGTCCTTACCATTATTGGACTTGAATGACAATACCACTCACAAATTCAGGTCACAAAGTATGCCCCACTTTACACCGAATGCAGTATGTCGAGGTCATAACAGATAACTAACAGATGGAACAAAGTTTTAAAATGACAAAAATTACAATTTTCCATAAGCACATATTAAGCATTTCAATACTTAAACTCGACAAGCATTGTGCAACTGACAACTTTTGCCACAACAATGACCAAGCAATTAAAAAAACATAACATCATAAAGATTATCAATGCTGATACTTTAATAATTAGAACTAACCAACAACAATTCATCTAAAGATAAACATCTCATTGGACCATAAGAAACCATTTGAGACCACTGGCCAGTGGAGGAGCTATAAATGGTGACGGGGTTCAATTGAATCCCCTTCGCCGGATAATTGTACTAGAAATATTATGTATATATACATGATAACTTGTTGAATCCCTTTATGTCAATTTTTTTTAGTGTAGTGCATTCTGAATCTCCTTGTTAGAATTTTTGGCTTCGCCAGTGCCACTGGCCATCAAATTTACTACTTCACAACAATTTCAAGAATTTGAATAACCATAACTTGAAACTCAAAACAAAGAATTCAACAAACACAACTCACTTCCAACACCCACAAAAGAACAAAGCTTTCATATATTTTTTTCGTTCAAGACAAGCTAAGTGAAACAACAAACCCCAAATCAAATTCCAGCAAAGTAACACCAACCCATCAAGCTTTAACACAATATATGAGCACACCCAATTGCCAGTATACTTCAAAAGAAACCATTAACTCAACTATAAAAAGAAAAAAAAGCAGAGAAATATAAGAAAAAATATATAATATTTAAGTGTGCATAATCTAGAGCTAAATATATATGGCTTACGTTGTTGGCCTTCCAAGATTGGTACACGCGCTTAGGCATGGCCATGAAAGAGTGATTCTTTGTCACTTTGCTAAAGCAACAAGAAGAAGAGTACACAAGTAGTAGAAATTGTTTGCTTTCATTTTCTTTTATTTTTTTACTTTTTCCTTTTTTGGCTTTTTCCAACTTTTTTGTAGACAAATTGGGTTCAAATGGCGGTCTGTGGTTCAAATGCGGTGGATTTAATGATTGTTGGTGGCTTTTTTTATCTTGCCTTTTTAATTCTCTATACTAGTTTTCTTTTCCATTCTTTATCATATAATATAATTGAACTAATATAATATATATTTTCTCTTGTTTCTTTTTTTGGTCAACAAAAGAACATTAATTTAATTTGTGACATTACAAGGAGTTTGGTGTACAACATTACAAAAATTGTAATCAAAATGTTGATCATTAGAGTGATCATATTCCAAAAAGGTGGGACTGTAGGACAAGTTTGCCACGCATGTAGACTTCACCAATCTCGGATAGGCACTGCCCTGCTGGTCAGCCAAGAGTTGTGGTAGCAAAAAAGTTGGTGGCTGAGTGAAGGTTGTTGTGTAGTCTTGGGCATTGGCAGATGAACCATGTTGAACTAGAGTATGTGCAGTGCAGTTTTGCTCCCTGTATGTGTGGATAATTGGAGGATTACCCAGCTTCTGAATTAAGTACCTGCATTAAGGTAGATGAGTAGTGCAAATTATCGTTGTTGAGCATTGATATTACCTTAGTAGAATCCACGTTCACTTCCAGTGGGGTGAGTTGATGAAGCCATGCTAGTTGCAAACCATGTAATAATGCATTTAATTCCATGTAGGTGGAGTTATCTGTGGAGCTTGCACCCATGAACCCCAGTAAACATTGTCTCGTTGTATTACGGAATATTCCCCCTATACCATTGTTAGATCCATCAGTGTTTAGTTTAATTTTTCCTAAAGGTGGTGGATGCCATTTGACATACATGTGTGTGCGTATTTGTATTTGTGTGTTTTGTTTAATAAGGTAATAATATTCTGCTGCCTGTGTTATTAAATGTTGTGTTGAAGGGGGTGGGTGAGAGTTTCGATTAAAGAGGTAATGGTTCCTTAGTTTCCAGATATGCTATTGTGGGATAAGGGTGCTTGATGGCAGGTTGTACGGGAGACTTTGAGTGTTTTTGATTAAATAGTGAATGATTTGAATTGGTGCTAGGAGTTGTGTGTCACAGGTCTGTAAGATATGGTCAATATTCAATTGAGACCATCTGGTGGTTGTGATGGGGTAAAGGAATAGTAGGTGGTTAATTGTTTCTGTGGTCTGAAGGCAAAGATTACATATATTGGATTAGGTGACATTTATATGATATAAGTAAGAAGCTGTGGTTAATCTTTGATGTGAGACTAGCCAAAGAAAGTGACTTATTTTTGGAGGTAACTTTAATTTCCACAACCAATCATGAGCGTAATGTGTTGTTGGTTCCTGTAGCGAAAGGTATAATGATTTAACAAAGAATTGTCCATTGGGAGTGAGCCCTCAAATGATCTTATCAAAAGCATAAGGATTAGTTAAAGTAGGGATATGGATTTGTTTAATCAATGAAAGAATATTTCCCGGTAATATAAAGGATAGTGAGTTTGTGTCAATTGTTGTGTTGATGATGTGGTGCTAAGTGTGTTATGTATTTCGTGAGAGTTTAGCGGTCCATGTATAGAATGTTGGAGGATAATATTAGGTCCAAGTCATAGCTCGTTCCAAATATTGATATGCGTTCCCCTTGCAACATGCCATACTAATCCTAGTTGGCATAGTTTCCATCCTACTTGTATATTTCTCCATGTAAAAGAATGGTGGATACTATGGTTTTATTTTTATACTTATTCAATAATAGGGATGCCTAGAGGGTGTTAGGGTTTTTAAAAAGGCGCCAAACTAGGTTTCCTAGTAAGGCATTATTTTTAGTAATTAGATTTTGAATACTTAGGCCACCTTGGTGCTTAGGTCTTTGTACTACTGACCAATTAAGTAAGTAAATTTTCTTTTTGTGTTCAGTAGTACCCCATAGTAAATTTCTTTGATATCGGTTCATTCTTTGAATGAATTGGGAAGGGGTTTTAATATATTGCATTCAAGGTAGATTTTATTAAGGTAGTACGTCCCGCCATTGAAAGCATATTAGTTTTCTATCCTGACAACTTAGCTTTGAAGTTGTCTAATATGTACTGAAAATCGCATGATGTTGGTTTATTAACAAACAAAGGGAATCCAAGATATTTACCAAATAGGATACCCTCCCTCATGTTAAAAGAGGTTAGGACAAATGGTTTGTCCACTTGTGTGGTGTTTCTGGAGAAATAAATTTTTGATTTTGCAAAATTGATACTTTATCCGAATTTTTATGTAAAAATTGTAAGTGTATCAATAATTGTGTGTACACTTGATGTCGTTAGTTTGGATGTCACAGTGATATCATCTGCAAAAAGGAGATGAGAGAATTGTGGTCCTTTGTTGGATAATTTGATTGCTTTCCATTGTTGATAATCTACCAATTGGTATATTTGTCTTGATAGTCTTTCCATGCATAAAATGAAGAGGTAAGGGGATAACGGATCACCTTGCCTGGTGCCCCTCGACGGATAGAAGAAAGGTGAAGGATGACCGTTAATAAGAATTGAAGTAGAGGTTGTTGTGATGCAAGACATAATTATAGAGATGATTTTATGAGGGAAATTAAAGAAATGTAATGTTTCTTTAATGAATCCTCATTCCATCTTGTTAAAAGCTTTTTCTAGGTCTAGTTTAAGCAAAAAATTTGCTACTTTACCTTTTTTCTTTCTAAAGTATTGAAGAATTTCTTGGACGATTATGGCATTATCTACTGCTCTACGCCCTTTTAAGAAGGCAGATTGTTCCAGACTAATTATTTTATTAATAAAAGGTTTGATACGATGTATAATTATTTTAGTGATAATTTTATAGATAGTATTGCAAAACCCGATTGGGCAATATTGAGTGATCATTAAAGGGTTTTTGACCTTAGGAATGAGGCATAGATAAGTTGTATTAATTTGATTTGGTATTTGGCCAGAGGTAAAAACTCCATTACAAAAGGATACTACTGATTGTGCAATTTGTGGCCAATATGTTTGATAGAAAAAAGGGTGTAATCCATCAGGCCCTGGTGCTTTAAGAGGTTGGAAAGAGCAAATGGCTTGATGTATTCCCTAGTGGTTAATGGTCATGCCAAGATTGTATGATATATGGCAGTAAGTGTTTGAAAACCATGTGTTGGCAGCTTAATGACGGATTGAGTGTGTGTGGTGGTGAATAAGGTGTTGTAATAATTAGTTATTAAGGAATTTACTAGTGGATGTTCCGTAACCCAGTTACCACATAGATCCTTCAGAGTAGTGATCCTATTCCTTCTCCTACGTTGTAGTGTTGTGAGATGGAAGAACTTAGTATTTGCATCCCCTTGTTGTAGCCAATTGATTCTGGATTTTAAGCACCAAAAATCCTCTTCCAACCCAAGCAACTGATTAAATTCGGTTATATGGTCTCATTCTAATATTTGGAGGAAATGGCTGGTGGGGTAAGAAGGGGAGGATTGTAGACCGTTAAGACGCGCCAGAATGTTCTTTTGTTTTTTAAAAATATTTTCAAAAGTGTGTTGATTCCAATTTTGGACATCTTCAGTAAAATCCTCAATTGCCGTCAATAAGTGTTTATTAGGAGTCCAATTATTAGTAATTAGAAAAGGGAAGGATGGGTGTGAGGACCAAATTGTTTCAAATCGAAATATTTTTTTACGAGGAAATTTATGCTTTAATTGGAGGAGTAACAAGCAGTGGTCCGAATGAGTTCTAGGAATATGTTGTACACTGGCTTCAGGAAATATATTGAGCCATTCATAATTACAAACGAATCTATCTAAGCATTCCAAAATTCTATTAGCTAGGCATCTTTTATTTGTCCAGGTATATCTACTCCCTCTAAAGCCTAAGTCTAATAAATTACAATAATCAAGACATTGGAGAAATTTGTCACATCTAGAATTATTGATAGGATTTCCTCCATAATTTTTATTTGCACGTGTTATTTTATTAAAATCACCCTCAATTAACCAAGGCATATGAATATTGTCATGCATTGTCATTAAGTGATCCCATAAAAAATTACATGCATTCCAATCATTTTTTGCATATATAACTGAAAATAACCAAGTATTAGGGTTAAGGGGTACCTGGACAATAGAGTGTATGGCTTTTGGGGTAACCTTTATTTGGTCAAGCTTAAGCAAGTCCTCATGCCATAGCAATGCTATGCCACCTGAATGGCCTTGTGCTGGTGCTTCTGCCAGGTTTGTAAAGCCAAATTCTTCCTTCAAATGGCCATGGAAGGATGTGAGTCTCTAGTAATGCCACCAGAGCAGGTTGGTGGTAGTTGAGTAATGGGCGAAAATTTCTCTTGAAGTCTTGTGACTGAGCTCCACGATAATTCTAGATTATAAAAACTGCATTTGATTTTTGTGTGTGGGTGGGGGTGGTGGAGTCTGTGGTGCCTCCACTTGGGTCACTGTTGGTCCCAATAGTGATGGGATCAAAACTAGCCCGTATTTTCCTACCTCGGGGTTGTTTGTAGGTCGTAGATTTAGTGAGCAGTTTTGAAGTTCCAGTGGGCACATGATGATCACCTTTCTTGCATAATGTTCTTTGAGATCGTAATATTTGTTGTTTTTGAGGAAGCACAAGATTGGTTGTGTTTCCTTGATGTCCGCCATTGTTACTGCCACCTCGAGTTGTTCTATTTCATCGAGTATGTTGGGAGTTGCTTGTGGGGGACGTACTGGAGTGGGTTGATATGGTGCTGCTTGTGCATGCAAGGGGGATGGTATATAAAGAGTTGACCTTTGTTGTATCCATGGAACTAGTGAGTGTAAGGGAATCTGTGGTGGATAAAATAAGAAATCCATCAAAGCTGTTTGATTGTAGTACAGTGGTGAGAGTGAGGTGTGTGTCTGGAAGTATTACATGGATGATGGTGGGTGCATGGCCTATAGATATTAGTTGTAGAGTTCCACCCCATCCTCATGCCTTTCGTTACTATCTGCGCAATGTCTGCTGGGTTTTGGAGCATGAGTATCACTTTCTGGCCTTCCACCTCCATCATAAATGTGAGGGCATGATCCTGTAGGCTCATTTCTAA